TAACATGCAGGCAAATCCCCTTAGCCCTGTAAGGTCCACAGCAATGGGACAATTCCATAGAACCTCTGATGGTTTCTCATAGGGAACCATTTCGGTAAATAAGTGGTTATGTATTACAAAATGCAGTTGACATTCCAACGTTGACGTTTCAGCTACTAATTCTTTACCTTGCCAGCATAATGTATGATACAGAAGTCAGCTTTGTCTTTCAGCTGTTTGGGCTTCTGAAATTTGGGGTGAGTGCCTTGTTCTTGTACAACTTTCTCCACAAAGCTTTTGTCTGTTGCTTTTGGGAACCAGCACTCTTCATCCAGCAGGGCCAGGATACCAGGAGGCCCAGCCTCAAAGAAGAGAAACATTAAAATTTCATTAAATACACAACTACATCAACAATTAACACCTTTAGATGGCTAGGGGGAAAAAATATGATACCTAAGCCTGATTTGCATCACATTCACCTGCTGTGTGGTACCAGTTTAACCACTTCCACAACAATAGAAATTGTTAATTCTTCTTCAAAATCCCTATTTGAATTCTGATTATTTTTATAAGAAGGTCTATGTTGTTTTAGGAGAAAAAAAAGGAAGTCTGTAAATCAAAAAACACTATCACATAGTTCTCCAAACATCCAGGTATCTAAAGGCAAAGGGCCATATCACAACACTTCAGAAACTGGTCCTTACTATTGGAACATCTGCTATGAAACTTTTAAGTTTCCAAGTTTCACTAGATCAGAATGAAAGCATTCAGTTTCTCATCACACTTAAGAAAGTAAGTTCGTGCTACTTATGGTAACTACACATACATCTAGCACCATGCAGATCCACACAAATTAAAGACAATTTAGTGAGAGGAAAAAGTGCCTGACTAGATCTGTTTTCATGCAGTGTTTCCTACAGAACTAACAGATTTACTGGAGACACACTACTTTCAGACTAAGAGGAAACTGTTCACTTCTGGGTCTAATCACATCACAGTGTCAGGAGAGGATTACAAAAGCTAGAAGGGTAGTTTCCAGTCTGCAGGTAGAGGAGATGTCCTCAATGACAATCAGCCCATCGATGGGAGCTTACCGGCTTCTCTATGAGGTCAATGCAGGGCTGCAGATCCAGGCCAAAGTCAATGAAATTCCACTCTATGCCCTCCCTCTGGTACTCCTCTTGCTCCAGGATGAACATGGTGTGATTAAAGAGCTGCTGCAACTTCTCATTTGTGTAGTTAATACACAACTGCTCAAAGGAGTTCAGCTAATGAAGAAAAAGGTAGAATGATCTTAGAACAATTGCTTTTGAAGACACACCTGCCTTTCTCTTAGCACAAAAGATCATATCTGTAGTTCAGGAATTTAAGCTACTGTTCTGTGTGGGGCAAGACAGCCCTTTGTCAATAAGCCTTTTGGTTATAAACTGCCTGTCCTGTCAGGTGCCACTGCATCACTGCTGCAGCCCCCAGGGAAGTTAACACATTGTTCCTCAGACTTGGCAAAAGAATGTTGAGTTGCAAACAGCAGACTGCAGCTACTTAACCAGGGAACAGAAAAGATGCAAGTCTCCTCACTAACGTGCAGCTGACAAGTCCTCTTCATACGAAGAAGCAGCAACAGAAGCCTGAAGACAAATTCCTGTCCCCTTCTCATCCTCATATATAAAATCAGAGCAATGAAAGACAAGGAAATTCCTTCAAAATCTTCAGATTTCTTCAGATGGTAAGGACAAGGTTAAAAATAAAGTCCTGTTCTACTTCCTCCATGTTTCAGTAATTCCTAATCATGTTATTTCCTCTTCTCTCCTTGTCATGAGATCCAGCAACCATGAAACCAAAGGTTCACCAATCAGAGAGGTGGTAGGAAATAAAAAACACTAAAACAAAATGATCAACTTTTCTGTGTCTTAGTTTTCCATTTCATTAATAAATCGGTCCAATTAATTTTGCAGCTGCACATGAGCAAGATCCAGCATAACAGGTAGCTAGGAGCTGTCTGGCAGGATCATAGAATCACAGAATTTAGGGGTTGGAATGGACCTTACAGATCATCCAGCCCCAACCCCCTGCCATGGGCAAGGGACACCTCCCACCAGACCAGGTTGCTCAAGGCTTCATCCAACCTGGCTTTGAACACTGCCAGCATCAGGGCAGCCACAGCCTCCCTGAGCAACTGTGCCAGTGTCTTACCACCCTCACAGGAAAAACTTTTTTCTAATATCTAATCTAAACTTCCCCTCCTTCAGTTTGAACCCGTTTCCCCTTGTCCTATCACTGCAGCTCCTAACACAGAGTCCCTCTCCAGCTCCCTTGTAGGCCCTTCAGATATTGAAAAGTTGCTCTGAGGTCTCCATGCAGTCTTCTCTTCTTCAGGCTGAACAGCCCCAACTCCCTCAGCAAAGTCCTTAGTTCTTTCCTGATGGCAGCCTGTGGTTGCTTTGGACTAAGTATAACACAAAGCCACGTTCTAAAACTGTTTCACAGACAAAGGTTTGGCCTAAAGGTTCACTGTCACCTATAGGAGCTCCCACCTCCCCTCTCTCCCATCTCTCCTTCAGCTCTTCCTCTCCTAAGCTTATATTGCATCAGATTTTATGCCCATTCCCCTTTTAGTGCAAACACATCTTTTTCAAAACAATGTTATTTTCCAGGTTTAAAGCTATTTCCTTCAGCAGCCTTTGCTCCATATAAAACTGTGCCGAGTGCAAAGACGCAACATCTCCTTACCTCAAAAATCTCAAAGCCAGCAATATCAAGGATTCCAATGAAGGATGCTCCCTGTCGCTTGGTCTTATCCAATGCCTTGTTGATACGCATAACCAGCCACCGGAACATGCGCTCGTAAGTGGCTTTAGCCAAAGCTTCGATGGCAAAATCAGCCTAAACAGCAAAAATATAAAGATCAAGAGTTACACTGTAAACCAAAGAAAGGCACAGATTACACTGCTTCAGCTTCTAACAACCCAACTGTAGTCTGAGATGTTTCTCTCCACCACCAAACCACAGAACAAGGCTTATTTCAGAGGTTATTCCCAGTGGGAATAAATAGCATATGCAAGAGCAAAGAATTTGTCTTCCTAAATTAGTGTGTCCAAACCAAATTCCAGGACCCTCACTGTTGGAAAAACCAATACCTGGTATCCAAGAAAGACAAACTATGCCCAGCCACCTTGTAAGACTGCAGTAACTTGGCAGGTTTCATAGTCCCAAAAAAAGCATTTAAATTCTTTTGTAACTTTGGATTTGTGAAGCCAAATGCCTCTCTGCCACTACCCTACCTGTGATTGACACAAACACTATATGAAGTAAGAAGTTAAACTTCAAAAGGAAAGGCAGCATGGAAAGACAAGCTGTGACTGTTTCCAGGCTTCAATCCCTTCCCAAACCCTTCCATGCTATAGGGCATGTTTCTTTGCACAGAGAATGTGTTCATAAGGAAGCTGTGCAGTGGGTAAGCACAGGAGCTTTGCTCCATTCAAGCAGGCCACAAGCTCCTAGGTCAGGTTTCACTTAGAGCACAACTTGACTCTGGAGTGTTACAAAATTTCCATTCAATTTCAAGGGTGAGCAGCAAATTCTTTCCCCCCTTGCAGCTGACCTACTCAAAAATGGTGCTTGCTGTATTATACCAACTTGAAAAGGTCACCCTTGCACACTGCACGAAAAGAATTAACTCCTTTGGGACAGCCAGTCACCAAAATTAGGGGACTTGTGATCTCTTTTGTCATTTTCCAGATGAGAAAAAGTGCTACTGGGGCAGGGTGATTTCTATCTTTATACAGATCAAGTGAGCAAATACTAGAAGAAAAATGTATGCTACATTATTCAAGTATGCTTGCCACACACTGCAGTCATACAGATGGTTAATAAAAGCTACAGAAACCTCTAAAACACTTGTTAGCTTTGTGCCAGTAAGATTAGAGACTGGAGTACTTGTTCAGCTTTAGAGAATGCATACCTGCTCTTTGGTCTGAGCTTTCTGGACATAATCTCGTCCAACTTTGATGCGAGGAGTTAGGATACCTCTAGTGAAATCTGTCACATTGATACCCAAAAGGTGAGACACTTTCTGAGCAGCTAAAAATGGTAAGAGGAAACAAAGATTAATATTGCTTTGTTTTTCTCACAGAAAACCAGACAAAACCCCAAAACACTCCTGCAACTGCTGTTAGAAAAGTCAGGAAACAGCTCAAAAAAACATTAAATGAAGAACAGGTTTCTGAGACAAAGTATCTTCCAAACAAAAAAATCCCGAAAAACCTCTTGCAACCCATAGTACAAGTTATTGGGTTTCTCCAGGAGCCACGTGAGGAAATTTGAAGCAACAGCCTCATATCACTAAGTCATAACAAGGAAGCTTTAGGAAGTTTGTCATCTGTAATCAATTTAAAGATAGATCAGATAACAGATTTCTTAATCGAGTTGATTGTTCTGTCTTTATCTATTGATTATTCTTTAAGGCAATTCTGTATTTCAGATTCAAGATCCAAAAGCCAAATGGTTTTCTCTCCTCTCCAAAATGCCATTTAGAGCATATTTTCCATAATACTAGCCCAAAAAACCCCTAACACTTCAGAGATAAATTAGCAACCTCTTATATTTCTGCAGTACACCTACAGTGAAGGTCTGAGAGTTAAGTCTTTCAACAGATAGTCTTCTATCACATGAAACATGGCACTATTTACACATGCAACAAAGGGCAGTGCCATTAAAATATGTACATATACTTTATACCCACCATAAAACTATCCACCACCTTACTCTGAGACTACCTACAAAGTCAGCAAAGAACATTCTGTACAGTCTGATCATACAGTTTGGAGGAGTAATTATTCTAGCTTAGTTAAAACACACAAACACTCCACATATTCCAGTGGAGTAATCCTTTTCATCTGGTCATCACATGTGCTTCCTGCCTAGCCCTGACACGAGAACAGTGCCACATTCCTGCCCGTGGGTGGCTGCAAACACACGCCTGGCAAAGCTGTGTGTGTTTGCACGGAGCAGTGCCAGCCCCTTCGACAAATAATCCACCTTACACAAAAGCAGGACTCCAGCATTCCATACATACTGTAATGCATTCTCATACTTGTAAGGACTTCCTGCAGCTTTTTTCCTGCACTTTTTGGTGAGAGAGGGAAGGAGATCGGTTACCTGTGTTGTCTGGCATAGAGGCTTGGTCTGTGTTACGCTCCTTCTTGAAGGCTATGTTGCCAAGTTGAAGAACACCTGAGATAACCTTCAGCAGACCTTTGAAAATAATAACTTAGCGTCAGACATCATCAAAACCCCTGATATGAACCAGTTAACCTTTCCTGACACGGTTAAGAGGTCCTTCTCAACATCCCCCAAAGATCCTTCTGAAATTTGGGAAGAAACACCACAGGCAGCTCCTCTATATGGCTCCCATTCAGGACAAGGACTTGCCTTATCCCTCCTGTGCAAGGTTACATAGCCTAAAAAGTGATCCATTCTCACCACCACTATAGGACAGCGACAGATGGGACTGAGGGTAATGTGCCACCTACATCATCTGTATTTTTTGATAAAACATTTGTTCTGTTAGAGAGTCATAATTTACTCAACGCATTCAATACTCGATTTTCCTCAACAATTAAACACAGGAAAGAGACAGTTAGGAGCACAAATCAATTAAGGAAGTTTTATTCTTTAACCCTGTAACACTTCCAGCTCCCTGACCAAGACCTGTAGTCGTTACAGACATACACTACAACATATGGAACAGCAGGATGTGGGTGAAAGTGCCTGTACCATAACTATTACTAATTACATGCTGAGGCACCACACCCCACTGCTAATGATATATTCATACTCTTCAAATGGTGCACGTCACAAAAGCAACACCAGATCCCAGGGCAGGAAATACATTTTTCAATGCCACAGTGTCAATTCAATCTTCACTATGTATCAATCAAAGCTCATTGCATAACAGCTTCTAGTTGCCTCAAGCAAAGTAAACTGCCAGTCACTTGCAAAGTGGAGCTCAGATTAAAGATTTTTTTTTTGCCTCCCCCCAGTTTCTGTTTATGCTTGTTTTGGCTGAAATAAGAGTTAATTTTCTTCATAGTACCTGTTATGGGGCTTTGGTTTGGATTTGTGCTGGAAACAGAGTTCATAACACAGAGATGTTTTAGTTATTGCTGAGCAGAGTCAAGACCTTTTCTGCTTTACTCCATCCCACCAGCAAGAAGGTTGTGGGTGCACAAGAAGCTGGGAGGGGACAGAGCTGGGACAGTTAACGCCAACTAACTCAAGGGATATTCCATCCCATATGACATGCTCAGCATATAAAGCTGAGGGAAGAAGGAAGGTGAGGACAATGCCATCACCCCCAAAGTCACTATTACGCAAGATGAAACACCATTACAGAAAGATTTGTTTTAAAACAATATCCTTTTGGTAGCAGAGCAAACAAAGGCTCCATGTATGCTATGTTAGGAGTAACAGAAAAGAAACATATGTCTGTGATTGTCCTGCCCTACTCTGCACTGGTACAGCCTCACCTTTACTCCTGTGTGCAGTTTTGGGTGCCGTAATATGAAACATCCGAAGGAGGACTGAAAAGATGGTGAAGGATCTAGAGGGGGAGCCATGCAAGGAGCAGCTGAGGTCACTTGGCTTGTTCAGCCTGGAGAAGACTGAGGGGAAACCTCATAGCAGTCAGTATCTTCTTCATGAGGGGAAACAGTGGGCAGGCACTGATCTGTCCTCTCTGGTGACCAGTGACAGGACCAAAGGGAACTTCATTATGCTGTGTCAGGGGAGGTCTAGACTGGATCTTAGGAAAAGGGCACCGGAATAGGCTCCCCAGGGCAGTGGCCACAACACCAAAACTGCCAGAGTTCAATAAGCCTTTGGAGAAGACTCTTGGGCACACTGTGTGATTCTTTGGGTGCTCGTGTGCAGAGCCAGAAGGCTGATCTTTAATGACCCTAGTGGGTCTCCTCCAAATCAGGATCTTCTCTGGGTCTATATTTCTAGCAGCAAGTTATGAAATTCAGTGGTTTGACAGATGCAGCTAGAGTCCTGGCACCTGAACAGACAGTTTATTTTGATGTTGCCTTATAAACGATGATAGCCACTATTTAGACTTTACATCAAAACTAAGCAAGCCAATGTCCAGCCAGGCATTTGTATGTATGCTACTTCTAACCCTATACAGACCACTAATGTACTTCACCCTTTGAACAGCAAGTGCAAAACACTACAGTTAATTTTGCTGTAGTGGCTGGAACCAATAGCCCATCTATGTGACAGCAAAGACATGCCCTGGAGCGTATATTCAAAAACCCAGCCCATAAAACTGAGCATCACAGGACATCCTGAAAATAAATTAGGCTGCCAATTCTTTTATCTGACTTAGGCAAATTTCTCTTCACCTTCATGGAGCGGTTTTGGTCTCAGATGATTCAGGATATTAAGAAATGCATCAGACTGTGCATAAGAACAGCATGGATGTAGAGCAGGCTGAACTGTGAAGAGCAATATGTAAGGCACAGGCACATTTCCCCTACACCTACAAGCGCTGCAACCTCCACCAGAGGAGATGGTGACCTCAAACCAACACAGCTGCTCGCTTGTTTCAGTGTAGAGAATAACAGTGCCAGTTTTAGAAGACCACATAAATTTGGAAAGCGAGATTTTGCAGAACAGTGATTCCCAACCACTGAGGCAGATCATGAACGAGAGAGCACAGAGCTCTGGTGAATACGTATCACTGCACTTTGTGCTGGCTTCACTGTCATGGTACTGTGCTCCCAGAATCAGACAATATTAATTTCTGATCAGCAGTTCAGTGTTAAGCTGGAAAGAAAGGCACTATGACCAGCCCATTCTCAAAAGACTAATCCAGCAGTGGTTGGATTAGAAACTTTAAAGGGATAGGGGGAGCACACAAGCCATGCACTGCACAAGAGAATGAGGGGATTCTTGTATCTTGGATGCCTAATTCATAAACTGGGTATACAGCCTTCAGAGTGGGAACAAAACCAGCATGGAGAAGCACATTTTCCTCAGCTGCTTGACCTTAAAAGCTAACTGTATAAACTGGAACTGTGCTGGTGTATCTCGAGGTGGGTCACTCCAAAGCCACTAAATTTTATTACTTGTACACTGTTCCCTTGGGGCAGGAACGGACACAAGCAAAACAAACCCAACAAAACCCCTAAACAAACAAATCAACTGACTCAAAACCAAGAAACAAAACAAAAACCAATGAAAAAGAACCTGAGAACAAAAATGCTCCAGAGACAAAATCTGTTGCTTCTTTTCTTTCCTTGCATATTCATACCTATCTGCTCTTCATCAGGGATGCCCATGATCTTCATTGCCTCCATGGTCTCCAGAAACATGTCTTTGTCTTGCTGCCCTGGGATGGTGACATGCCCGTTGGAGAGGAAGCGGTATTTGTTGTAAGGCTCAAGCAGCAGATCATCTTAGGAAAGAATTGAGAAAGAAGAAGTTATTATGGACTTCTTTTACTTTTAAACAAACAACAAGCTACCACCAAGATCAAATTCCTGACCTGCATATACTACCAGGCCCTGTATGAATCTGGGGTTAAGCCCAGTCTTACTACAGGCTGAACATTTAATGTATTTTAGATCAACCCAGAGGTTTTCTGCCTTATTTCTTTCTATTCCTTTCTCTGGACTACTCCACCATAGCAGTGTCAATCATCATAATGCCCTAAATCCATAAGAAGCAGGGATTAACTCAAAAGCAAATTTGCTTTTTAATTTCAGACACCTCATTTGTTTCACGTCAGATGAAAATTAACATGCAGCTCTTGAAACAGTAGCAACTATGACAAAAGTTCTCTCCTGTCCTTTCCTCCAGGTCAGTTTGCAGCTCTTGCACAACACAGATCCTGATTACCAGGCTGAGGTGTCAAAGCTAGGTGTGCTAGGTACCCATAATGCTGGAGCTGCTTAGGTGCTTGCAGATTTGCTCCACTCCATTAAACACCGAGTACATCACAGCAGGACCATTCCTGCACTAGGAAGGTTTACATCATGCAGGACTAGACTAAACATGGGACAGTGATTTAGATAAGGAAGGGTGTAGAGTCATTGCTGGCACGGAGACAAGAGCAGGAAGGAACTAGAGAATCAAGTTTTCAGGAACTGAGAAGTACAGGGGGAGCGCAGATGGATGTACGAGTGCACGAAAGAAGTGCAGAAGAGGAGACCATATCTAAAAGGCAGAGACAAGGAACTATGAAGGAACAGGTCCTAGCCTACAAGGGTTTTGAACCCTCTGTTCTTGTAGTTATGGGATTCCCTCATCAAAACACAATCATACTTACTCTTCAAATGCTCCCCTGCCCCAGAGAGCAGGTAGTAAAAGATGTGGAAGGTTCTCTCATCTTTGGCCTGGCGAATTGCACGTGACTTCTCCAGCAGATCTTCTGAGAGTCAAGGCATATGACGAGACATACACACCACTTCCTATTCCATGGTAGGAGAAAAAAACTACCTGATGTTCTTCTCATGCCAGTTGACAGGGGTATTGACTCAGCAATCATTATCAGTCAACAACCCACTGAGCTTCTGGTCTCAGTTCTGACAGCCTGAATGATGACTATGATAAGAGAGACTCAACTGATAAAAACCAGAAAAAGAGTGACCATCCGTCCTCACTTGCCTTGGACAAAAGTGGGAATGACTTATAAAATTCCAAGCCTATTCATATTAGTGCAGTTTATGCTTGCATTTCAGCCTCCTAATATTAGAATTCATTCATTCAGAGAAGATTTCTACCACGATCAAAGATCACAAAACACTGTATGAAGAAACAGGAGACCACAACAGTGATCTTGCTAGCATAACTTTCATAGAATCATAAAATTTTAGGGGTTGGAACAGACCTTAGAGATCAACTAGGCCCAACCCCTCCTGTCCTGGGCAGGGACACCTCCCCACTAGACCAGGTTGCTCAGAGCCCCATCCAACCTGCCTTTGAACAATGCCAGGGCTGGGGCAGCCACAGCCTCCCTGAGTGTTCCAGTGTCTTACCACCCTCACAGAACTTTAGTGCTTCCTACTGCTTTCCCAACCTGACAAAGCCAGTTGTGAAGAGGCTGCTAGGTACCATTGCTGTCACCTCTATAGCCTTTAACTTCTCCTTTTAAGTGGTTACAGGAAGGATACAAGTCTCGATATTGGCTCCAACAATGTAACCGTTGACATCAAAGTTGATTCTGATGAATTTGCCCTAAGAGGAGGATAATAGCATTAAAATTAGTATTCATTCTATCTGGTAACAGCAGTAAACAACAAAGGTAAACCTCCTCTTTTTAATCCAGGAAAGGAAACTCGGAACAGGTCAAGCAGGTTTTAGGCAAAACATAAGGTCAGCCAATAGGCAATGCCTGCTGATCACAAGAGCGATTTAACGAACAGGACACCAAACACTTCCAGACATTTCTGACATTCAGGCAATCTACAATTCAAACTCATTGTGTTTCAGCCTAGATTTCTGTGGTGGTTTAACCCCAGCCAGCAGCTGAGAACCACGCAGCCACTCACACTTCCTACAACCAGAGTCCCTTCAGTTTCATGTGTTACATTATCCAGACAGTTCCATCTCCTTCAAAGTTAGCTTTAATCATTTTCATTTAGCTCCAGCTCTAGCTCCCCCACCTGCCTCTCAGATGTTGCCCTTTGCTTTCCAAAGTGAGCAAAATAAGGACCAGTATTTGCTCTCCAGGATAAAGCTGACTGCAGTAACACATGATAAAAATCAGCATAGGTGATCCAGGCACAGGGTCTGGTTTCTTCATTCTAGAGACCTAACAGATCTGTTCTGGATAAATTACTGAATGAAATCCACTTGCCAGATTACTTGAAGGAAGTAATTCACAGACAGTTATCCTACCCCTGACAGCAATTCCCCCAATAGCAAATCAAGTCTTCTCTCTAGAAAGGGCAGAATACTGGCACTCATGACAGATAGCAATACTCACAAATCTTGAGGAGTTGTCATTTTTTACTGTCTTGGCATTTCCGAAGGCCTCCAGGATGGGATTAGCTTGGAGCAACTGTCTCTCCAGTTCTCCCTGAAGAGAAACCCCAAATTAATAAAGTACTAGTAGTTCACTGCATTAACCTTGGGTCATACCAGCGCTGCAGTTTCAATTCACACTAGCTTGGCATCTGCTGTAGAGAAGCCATATTAAACCTTAGGAGATGATCACTTAAATCTTCAAAGGAGACTCATTAGTTATCTGAATAAAACAGAAATATTTACAAATATGGGTTATTCCCTTCCTCAACACAAGGGCATCCAGTGTTGTCTTTCTGTTAACTAGAAGCCCTTTCAAATCCCTTGGCCATAACATCTCACAGACTTCCCAGGATCAAAGTGAAACACCATACCATCCAACACCAGGCCCCCATCCCAGAAATTTATTGGCACCTAGGCCGGAAGAGTGAGAAAAATCCTGTCTTGCTACTTAAAGATAGTTCTAAACATTGCTAGTAGTAGGTGAATAAGTTAGCCTGAAAATGTCTAATGTTTCAAAAAACCCAAACACCAAACAAGAAACTTGCACTAAGTGTCTGCATCTTCCGAAAGACAAACAAGCAAAACCCTCCTTCATAAGAAGGCACACACAGAAAAGAGAATTAGTGGTATCCCACAAACTGCATGATTGCTTGAGTTCTGCTGCCGTATTCACACACTCCTCCCCTCGAGGAACACAAAATGCTGCAACTGTAGAAAAAGAAAATCCAGAAACTTTATCCTTGCCAAGTCCTAGACCACTGCAGCATATACACCTTTCCCTGCAGGCTCTAGATGTAACCCTGCCTGGTTTTAAAAATGACTTGCCCTCTGTGCTAAAAGCATGGAGTTCTATCTATTTCAAGATCACCTCAAAAGCTTCTGTAGCCAGAAAATTACAGTTTAGATTAATGGTTTTTTTTAGCAGCTATCAGTAAGTACTCAGGACTGCCTGTGCATAACGGATGGAAATGAAGTTTGATGTGTGAGATCTGAAATTTATGGGAAAATTACTTAAGGTTATTTCTAAAGGAAAATTGTTCCCATTCATTCCCAAAGTGCATTATAAAACAGATTAGTTCTTACACAGTCCCTCTAAAAATACATGCAATAAAAAAAAAAAAGGAGAAAGAGATATGAGAAACTGTACAATGAACTACTTGATTTGTGACTTCCACAATCACTTCACTTCATGCTTGCAAAGTGCAAGGCCAAACAGGACCCTCAGCTCCTGTGGAACTGCACATATATAGGAGGGGCAGCTGCTGAAAACACCTTCAAGTACATGTAGCAAGGGGCTTAGCCCTGGGAAGGGAGCCTGAGCTGGGACATCTCTCTCACAACAGCCCCAGCACATCAGAGTGGTCGGGCACTGGAATAGATTGCCCAGGGAGGTGGTGGAGTCACCATCCCTGAAGGTGTTTAAGAGGTATCTGGATCTGACACTGGAGGATATGGTTTAGGGCTAAGGGGTTACAGGATTGACAGGTTAATGGCTGGACCTGATGATCTTAAGAGGTCTCCTCCAACCTTGATGATTCTATGTGGCTTTGTAAGGAGGAAACCTTGAAATTAAGGTTCAGACCTTTAAACTGTGCGACAGTCACATCTTCCCTACTGTTATGGCATATGTATTGAAGTTGGAATGCTCTTCACTCATTCCATTCCTCTTCCCCATCCTGCACTGAAACCCTAGGCATTTGTGACTGCAATCTGTTAGTATTCAAGTGAGAGATGACAGCAACATATCATTTAAACCCAACCATGGAACAAGGAGGGAAGAGAAATCAGGCCTTGACACCAAATCTTTTTTAATTATTTGGCTAAAAATAAAACCCAGGTCATACTTAGCTCCACAAAGATCAGAAGCTTATAGAAATCCATACTACAGACCCTCCTGTTTAGTACCTCAGGAAAAAGTGTCATTAGTGTCAAGTCAGTGTTGGCAAACCGCAGTTTAAAGGTGCTTAGGTGTCTTGAAACACCAGTGCATCAATACACATAGAGAATGCCAGCCAAGGCTCACAGCACCGTGAAGCTGTGAGGAATGGAAAATGCTAAAGAGGTGATTGAGTCAGCTCTCCTGACTTGCCTTAGCACCATGATACAGGTGGAAGATCAAGTTCTCAGCATGCCACAGCACATGAGATTAAGTGGCTAACATAACTGTACCTGCCCCTCACTGTACACCCTCTTAGTTCAAAAGGTAACTCCATTGAGCTTCAAATTTAAAACAAATTTGCGGGTGGAGTTTGCTGGGGTTTTTACCCTAAATTTTGGTCACCTTCCAATGACCAATGAAGATACTTCATTATTATTATACAATGGGTGAGTTTTCAAAGCAAAACCAGCACACCACAGAGGAGTCTGTCACAAGCTTTCTAGAAATTCTAAGGTTCCTATCATTAAGACACTGAAAATTTTTATGGCACCTGTAACTGCCATTCCTTGACCTGAAACAAATTGGTTTAATACTTGGCATGCACTTGAAGTATGTACAATATTCTTCATGAAAACAGAAGCAGTAAAATCCACTGGGTCTGTTAACCTGTGGTTGGGCAGTGCAAGCTCTTTCTAGTTCTCTGACCCGACAACACCAATTTAAAGCAACTAAAACACCCGACATCTACCTTGTACTTTGAATTTTTTGCATCTCATACACTTTTTGGAATGTTTTCTATGCAAGGCAGAAGTTTCCCCAGCCATTCATTCTTCACTAAGTGTGGAGAAAGGTATCCAGAAATCACAGCTACCTTTAACAGCATGGAATTAAAAAATTAAGGAGGGTATTTGGGGTTTTTGTTTGGTTTGGTGGAGGTTTTTTGCTGTTGTTTCTTTAGACTTTAGGGATTTCCTTTTGTATTCTTCTCTGCAGTCATGTGAGAGATTAATAAGTAACTGAACCCCAGCAACAGTGGCTAGATGGGGAAAGGAGAAAGCTCATCAGTAACCTAACTTTCATTCAAGTATTAGCAACCATTACCCACGGATTTCTGATTAGCTGCAACCATTCTCACCTTGAAAAACTATTACATGACTTAAGAAGACAGTAGAGAAGGGAAAATTAATCTCAACTTCCATAAATAAAGTTTCATTAAATGCAGAAAAGTGTTTATATAATTAGGTTCAGTACACCCCCAAAGGAGCCTTAATGTGCTTAGTAGTCACACCATGCAGCTAGAAGCTATTTAGCTGAACATACTAATACACTGGGAATGGTGAAATGTGCCAGTACCTCCAAAATAACTGAGCTGGAGCTGAAGAATATGCTTTATAAACATGATTTTGCTCTGAGACTTGGAAAAACAGGGGTTTGCATCCAGAACTAACAGGTGACAGTCAAGAAACCTTCATGGTAACTAAAGCACCACTACTTTCTATAAGATCAGTGGTTAAGTTCTGTGTCTGTGTCTTGCAGCATAAAGGTTCAACACTATCCAAACTAAAGACAAAAATCTGCCATGACCAGCACACCAAGATCCTCAAAAAATTAAATGCATTCATCTTCATGAACTCTTATACTCTGGTTCCAAGTTTGCTTTGTAAAGATTTGTTGATCATTCATGACTGATTAACATTCAAAGACTCCAGCTCTAAATCCCCTCTGGTAAGGCCAGTTTAGTCACAAAACTGGAACAAAACATGAGCTGCAGGACCTTTTGGAAAGATCAAAACTCAGGGAAAAAAATTAAATATCAAGCTTGGGCAAATCACCAACCAGTCCAACTTAGGACTGTTTTACTCTCCCAGGCAGACTGCTTGTCCTGCTTTACTGGTTCAAATTTTGCTCAAAGACAAGCAGTGGAAGAATACTTAACTCAACCCCATGATTCTATTTTCCACACTTAAAAAAAAAAAAAAAAGAAAAAAAAAGAAAAAAAAGGAGAATGTTTCTAAATAAAGCTACTGACAGACCATGGAAAAAGCCTTCATATGTCTGAAAGTTTGGCACATGGAACTTTTTTTTTTTGTTGGATTCCAGAAGCAAGTTACTACTGTGTGCACACACACAGTGTGCCTGCATGCAGGGATACCTGCTTATTTATACACTCTAGATGCCTAGGACATGCCTACACATTAAGCTACTGTGGGAAAACTCTTATGTAGAGATACAGTGGACACACTTGGCATCTGGCATTCATTACACAGCTCCCCAGTGACCATTTCCAGTGTGTTCAGCTCTGGCTAACAAGCTCACAGTCCTGGAACACCCTGTCTGCAGAGCAGCCTTCCCCATGACCTCTCTTTGCAACCCACAGCCACAACTCACTGCAGAGACTGGAAAGCTAAACACCTAACAACACTGATCTTACTAGGATCACCACAAACACTGTGTGCTTAAGGTTCTAGGAGAGCTTATTGCTCTGGAGAACACTTGTCAAATGACGTATCTGGGAAAATCCTGCAAGAAGAACCTTAAACGCAAACTAGTACTGAGCACAGAACACGAGTATTCTTGATAGTACTATAATCTCCAACTGAACATCCTTACAAAAAGATTACTGTGCACCACACACAAAAAAAAAATAAATTGTGAATTGTCTATGGATTTGGTTTAGCTGCAGAAAGTGATATTGGTGTGGAGTGAAAAGCTGCTCAAAAAAATCACACAATGGGACAGAAAACGCATTCCTGGTGCAGAACGTGCAGTAAACGTGCAGCTCACCTACGAGGACACAACTGACGGATGCGGCAATAGTCCATCGGGGAGAGGGAGGGGAAAAAAATATAAGTGAGACATCTTTAAACTCCTCCCACCATCACCACCACCCTCCTTACATGTGCTGCTAACACTTGGATGTTTTCCCCCCTTGCAATGTTTTTCTACATTTCCACATGTTCAGCTGATGTCCACTAGCCTATGACTGTGTTCTCCAGTTTTGAGACAGTATAATAACAGCCAGACCTAATCTAATGATTCAGAAGAAAGGAGACAACTCCTCCATGTAAGGATCAGTTTTAAATTGCCTAGACTGGTTTTAAGAAAAGATCTGTACAGGTGATGCTTCATTTATAGTGCCTTTTGCCCATGTACCTGCCCGTGAACCCAAGAGGTTGTGGATGAGTTTATCCCCAGTGTAGCTCCGCTGAATTCAAAGGAGTTATGACTTCGGACAGTATTCCCTGGCTTGCAATTTTTGACAAACTTTTATTGCTTCATAGTTCACTGTCCTCCTCAGTCCCTGACAGATGTTCATCTCTTAAACTTTCATTGAGCAATTTGGCTTTTACCAACATCAGCCAATATATATTCACTCTTCAAAGTCAGCACAGCAATAAAGCATTATTAAACTTAGGTCTTACCTGGTCTTTTTTAGACTTGTGTGAGGAAGCAACATGAGCCAGATACTGAATGACCTTCTTGGTGTTCTCTGTTTTACCAGCTCCTGATTCACCTCTGTAAAGAAAATCTGCAATTCATTCACAAACAAGATGTAGGGGGACATAGTCATATTTCTAACCCCAAAAGGGCTACAGACATCCTTAGCTGCATTCTGGCCATTGCAGCACCTCCCTCTGAGTCCAGGGAAAAAAGCTGCACTGGCAAGCAGCAGCAGTGTGGCTGTGCTGCAGGTTAGTCTTCCAACAGTTTGCCACTGGGTGCTGGCCCCACCTGCATGCACGGAGGAGGGAAGGCAACAAAGAACTATGCTTTCTAGTCACTTGGATACAAAAGACTGTCAAGTGGCTGAGGAATAATTCAGAGGCTGCTGTAGAGGTAGGGGTGAAAGGCAATGAAGCATTGCAAATGGAACACGCCAATTCCTTAAGCAGGACTGAGGGGCACAGTCACTTTTACTGTGTCTAGAAGGGAAACTGTTGTATCAAGGGAAACTGTTACTCTATCAGCCTCATCAGTATGAATGCACTTCAGCATAACAGCTGCATCAAATCTGAAGGATCACTCCAAGCCTTTTCCACTGACAAAGCTGTATTTCTTTACAAGTTTGAGCACAGGGGCTGTTCAAAACCACTCTTCCTCCAGTCTTACACAAATTATTCTGCAGAAAGAATTATCTATTGGAGGAATCGCAGTGAGATTTTCCTTGACTCTCCGTTATTACCTGATTTTGTAAGCCTATTCCCAGCACTTAAGACAGCCCTTCAACCAAGAATGTAAAAACACAAACTTTGACATGCAGACAAGTTGACAACTGTAAATACTCACGTGCAAAGGATGGACTGATCCTCTCGATCTAAAATAAAATTTAAAAATGTAGTCAGACTAAGACTCTAAATTTCTGACAGAATGAAATCACCACAAAAGACAAAACCAGGAACTAGTAAATTCTGACAAGCATCTTCAGAAACATGGCCAGGTAACCCCTTCTCTGGCAAAAGACCCCAACCTCCAACCATATCCTAAAGTAAAATGGCACCAGAGCAATTTACTTTTCTTCATCCAGAAAATAATCTTTACATTGCAATTTTTCTACAAAGAGTATAAAGTCTCCCACTGAATGTTTCTTTACCAGAGCTACAGTTTGATGTGCATCCACCTCCCCCCTATTATACTGGGCCCATACTGACTTACAAAAGTTATCAGCAGAGCAGTGAAAATGGAAAAGGGAGGGGAGGAAGTGGGACAGCAACTGTTACAAATCCCAAAGTGCCCCAAACTCGCATCAAACAGAGGCTTTCACTCCAAAACAAGTACTGGAAGCTGAGCAAGAAATTTTTGTTACTTATTTTGTACAAAACAGACTTGAAAACTACAACACTGAGCAGCAGCCTACATCCTACACAGCTTATTTGTTTGTGGCACCATCCCCTATTGTACTAACACAGCAGCTGGTAACAGTAGAAACCTTTTCTTTTTCATGTTGACATACCAGCAGACATACTAATGCCTGTGTTCAACTCCCAGCTGTGGATGATATCTTCCCAGTAACAGAACTCACTTCACCCAGCCTATTCACCACTACCTTCTCCCACATCTTTAACCTCCTTCCAGCTTTCACCTATGAGCCCACTTCCTTTGTGCAGTCCTGCAGTCTTTCCACCATGCCTTCATGCCCCAGCTCCTGCACCACTTCTATGTGAACACACTTCTGTGCTTCTGCCTTGGTTTCACCTATCATCCACCCCTCCACCACAGGTCTGCCTGCCTCCCACCAAGCTGCACCCCATTCCTCCTCCACGCCACCAGGAATGAGCTGGAAGCATTGAGCAGACTGAAGAGTGCCTGTGCCTACATCAGAACAGCCCCAGTAGCTTGTAGTTATCACAGGCACAGCAAGACCTGTTCAAACATGGAACAGACAGGCACAGCAAGTCATTCACTGACAGTCCACAACAGCCATTGCGACACTCAGAACACACACTGCCACCAAAATCAAAGTCCCCATTAGGGTTTTTTTTGTTTTCTTTGATTTTAGGTGTCTGTTTTTTACAATCGAGACCAGAGGAGTATCAGATCATCCAGTCTGACCAGCTCAGTAACACAGCAGCAGTTAGAGTTCACTCAGTTATTGCCACTTGTCTTTTTCTACTCCAAGCCCCAATTTTGTACAGGACTGGTATCTAATCTCTAAAGAGAGACAGAAAACAAGCCTCAAACACCCATGAAAATACACAATTCCCTGGATTGCTCTAATTATTTCAACAACCAGTAACCTTTGTCAGTATGTTTATGTGACTGTCTCCACATTTTAGCTACTAGTTCTTTCTATTCCTTTCTCCCATAGCTCAGAAAAACCAAGTGCACTCAGTATTCTTCCCACCAGAGTACTTACACGACATAATTAAGTCACCATTCAAGTTGTTTTGTGCAAGATAAAATGCCGTAATTAGGGAAGGCTTTCTAGTCCGATAGATTTCAAGCACCTGAAACCACTTTCTATACTCCTAAATCTGCTGCAAGTGAATTCAGCATTTCAGTCCCAACATTATGAATTCCATACTCCACAAGAAAAGCCTCCTATAAACTCAGTTTATAAAGAGAGGAGTATATCTAGCCTTTGGACATATTTTCATGGAATAAGGAAAGCTGGTAAATGTACCAAATTTGAGATTCTATCTTTTGTTAAGTTATTCTGAAACCAATAATGGAAGCATTAGGTTCACCTGCTACAAATATGCAAATCCTGCTCTTAAGCTTCTTTACTGGAAACTGATGAGCATAAAAAATGAGAGAAAAATAATCTGGTTTTTCCCTGTTAACACTCAGAACATCACCTGTCATTAGCTGATACTGTGCCCAGAAAGAGCCAATCAGCCCCAAGCCTGGAAAAAAGCAAGCAGAAGAAAATCACCACTCAAATGGTTTATTCCTGGCAAATTCTTAAGCACTGAGAACTAGATACTGCAGCTTTACTTGCATAGCGTATTCATTTTCTCAAGCCCTGAATTTTATTCACTGCATTTGAGAAATATACCCCTTTAGCTGAGGGACAGGTCAAGAGCAGATGTCAGCCAGCTCCACAGGCCCCATGTATTCAAGGTTTCCAGTGGGTCAAGGGCTCAGCAGGCACATACCAGTTCTCTGCATGACTGGGCACCTTGAGGGTGGATCAGGGGAATAACTAATGACTCCTTTATGGATTGCCTCAGGAAATGTATTCTTCCCTAGTGCAACACCTGGGCACAACTCTATCACACAGCAGCTATGTGAAAGGACAAGACTGTGCCTCTGAATAACATCTGACTTTTCAAAGCTTGACTATAAACAAGAAGTCCACTTCTCCAGGAACAGATTCAGGCTCTACTAAGGCCCTTCTAAGAAGTCACTTGAGAGAAAGAAAAAAGTCTTGAAAAAAGATAACCATAAGGAAAGTGCTCTTTTTTGCTGGTAGCCAGCTCTCTGATCTTGGAATTATGAGCTGGGGCTTCTCAAACAGGCAGTGGAGTCCCAAGCACTTTACTAGCACATGCCTTCCCATTCCCTCTCCTACAAACAATCCTTAATTCAGCAAAAAAATACTGGTAAGCAGACAGATAAACTGACTGCCCAACAGAAAAAGAGATAATCCACAATAGGTAGTACTAAGAAGCTCTTTGGCACTGAACACTTCTTGATCATGCCAAGCTTTCTCATACTTGGTTGAGTAGTTCTTTCAACAGCACCCAGAGTGACCCTAGGATGTCCCAAAGGGGCAAACACAGGACTTTTCCCCACCTTAATGCAGGGCAAGGTGTCGAAAGGTGTTCAGGCAGGAAGAGTCACAGACAGTGCTCACAGTCCTCCTGGCACTAAACTTTCCTCCCCCAGCATACTTTCCCGGTGGCCAGCTGCAGCTGCCTTAGTCACCTCTACTTTTAGTCAGAAGGAACGTACCTGCGAGTGCAGGCAAGTCACCCGGAGCACGCAGACACTGCCATAAAAGGCAACATTCCTGTTTGCAATCCGGGGGAAATTCTTTCCCAGGACTGCAAAGAAGCAGTTATTGGGATAGCTGGAATTCTTCTAATTGTGTACAGACAGACATCTCAATGTGTTGAGCAACAGGAAACTGGAGCCGACCAAAAGGCCAAAGAGCTAACGCACACAAAGCATAACTCTTAGATACACTTCCAATTAAGAATTGCTTTAAATGCCAATATTCCTTCTTCATACATTAATGACTTGTGCCTTCACAAATCAGAGTTCAGTTGTCCAGGCAGGAGGTCACCTCCACCCCTCCTTTTATTTTTAAGGCCCATTCACCAGGGGTGTACGGCACAAGTTCAGTCAGCACTTGTCTGTACTTCACTGTCAGTTGTGCAAGCAACCTACTCAGCAAAAGAGAATGTGCTGGGTACTATAAATTCAGTTGCTTATAATAACACAATCAAGAAATGCCTGATTAAAAGAAATCTGCATCTGCTTTTCAATCCTAAACAGAGTAACTTATTAAAAACAATCCAGAATAACAACTCATTAGTTAATTATAGCAACAGCTCTGTATTTCAAACCAGCTGGCAAGGGAAGCTTTTATCAAGGCTCTTGTTTAGTTCTCATCACCATAGTATTCAAGTGATCATAAGCAGCAGCAGCCTCAAGCATCCAGAAATTCAGGAAGTAAAACATCCTTCGAATTTAAACTATACAGCAGTATGGTAGAATAAGATTAGAAGATTAATTTTATTATGAAAAAAACCCATAATATCTAACTAACTCTTGACTTTCTTTAGTCCAAGAACAAAAGACTGCATTTTAGACTGTTTCCAGGACCTTCAGCATACATTAAAAACTTAATTAATCCAAAATTTGTTTTCATAAGAGAGACAGCTTGTACACAGAAAATCCCCAGCCAAATATTCTGCTGCAAAACAACAAATCTGAATGAATGGTGAACTGCTGTGGTCGAATATATTGCCATAACTGATAAATTAATACAGCTCCAAAGTCCTGACTTTTGTTTTTAGATGTTTTGGCATTGAAAAAGAAAAAGGTGGGGAGGCTAGAAGAGAATGTGCAATTTAAGCTCCACATCTCAGTTACAGAACATTCTACCAGGCCTTTATCACCCACTTCCTCTGCATGAGTGACTCGTTTCAAGTTTGTTCATCTCCATAAAAGGAGAAGTAATATAGCATTCACACAATGGTGACATCATCTCTCCAGCTAGGAGGAAGTGGAGCTGAAAGGCAAAGGCTTGGCTTGCAGTCCTCTGCCTATAGCTGACTCATTACGGCCAAAAGCTTAACCGTAGCTCCATGGTACCACCCACCTCCCAACCACAGTGTCTGGCAGCTCGGAGCAGCCTGGCCCTCCGTGCTCCCCCAGCATCCCAGGGAACGCCTCTAGCCTGGCTGACCAACCTAGAGAGCTGACCTAAAGCAAGGATGAGTCTTTAACGCGTGTAAGAGCTCCAGCCATGCAGTGCTTTCAGCCTCCCCAAACTTCTCTCCCAACATCTACACTTTACAACCCATGTCCTCTCCTCAGGGCTCCTACCACAGGAGGAGCCTCAGGCACCTGACACACTGTGCTACACAGAACAACCCCACCGGCATCAAATCTAATCAAATATACTCACTGTGGTGCTTTAACCTACATGCTGGTTTGAGTAGGATCAAAAAAACACTCCAGGGGAGCACCAGAGCAGAGCCTGAGAGCCTGTTTTTGCATTATCATTTAAGGAATGCATTATAAAGAAGTTTCCAAATGCTAATCAACTAGCATTGAGTACAAAAAGAAAGAAATCAAATGAAGAACAAACATAGCATATCCAAGACAGCTTTCAACAATAGAACTTCTAGATGGAAAAACAAA